CACACACACACACACACACACACACACACACACACACACACACACACACACACACACACACACACACACACACAGTCTGTATTTAGAACAGCTGATTTGGACATGTGAGCTGGCCACGTGCCTGGGACAAGAAAAACAACAAAACCTTTCAACCAATCAGAACAGTCCTCGTCCTGGCTCCGCCCCCTGCTCTCCTGGCTCCGCCCCCTGCTGCAGCCTGTAACTGCACTGCAGCACAGAACCACAGGAACCGGTCAGCTCCTGTCCACAACTGTAGACATGTCCCGGAAAAGAGCTGCAGAACCGGACCAGCTCCCCACTCCCAGCCCGGAGAGGAAGCGGGTCTGCTGGGGGATTTTAACAAGTCAAGGTGGGTCCCTCAGTACCGAGCTGTTCTGGTTCTGAACATGGTGACGTCACGTGTGTTGGTGACCAGCAGGGTCCAGTAGAGTTGAGCTGTCACCAGGTAAACTACGGTTTATAATTATCATTTATAAAAGAGACAGGATGCAGAGTGGACCTGTTTGTGTTAAAGTGCAGCACAAATGTTGTGTTCACTAAAGTTTACAGTTTTATATAAAAGCAGAAAGTGTAAATGGTCTGAAGTACTGTTTGTTTTTACAGGAGTCCTGTTAGAGCAAACTGTCACCTTTGTGTCTGACATTTCACTCATCATATGACACTTTTACACATATGTGTAGTTTTTGTGTTGGGGAACAAATTCAATCAAGTTCTGTAAAAAAATAAAATAAATCTAGTGTCAGATCTGCTGTGTCTAAAATATGTTTGTCAGAAAAATCACTGAAGTGAGGGTTTGTAGGGTAAACAGCTGCTTTATCCTGTTGTTACAACTTTACTACAAAATAAAACAAGATACGTAAAAATCAGACAAAACTTKTAGTTTAATCATTTCAGCATTTTACACAATTCTAAATAAATGAACAGGACTTTGAGTCCAGGAGGTCCTGGTGGGTTTTTCACAGGGTAGCTGGACTTCCCTATAAATACTTTGTTACTGTACTTCACTGGAAATTTTGTTTATTTGTATTTTACTTGAGTAATTATTTTTCAGCCTTGCATTTTTACACAATTATCTACTTTCTACTCATTGTACTTTTTARAAAGGTAAGAAAATAGAAAGTTGTTTCTCCTATCACATTCTGGCCAGTGAAGTAAAAAATACTGTGCTGATAAACTGTGGCTCATAGAGTGGATTTAAGTGTGGTTGGATGAGAAGTATAAATAATACTGACCGACATTGTATTAGTTTGTACACAACCCATCACAGCTGCACGCCTTAAAAATGTTGTTTATTAAGAGGTCACCTCTCAGTAAATGTGTTTCAAAAATCTAACCGCTCATTTTTACTTAATACTTTGAATTTTAATACTTCAGTACATTTTCTGTCAAAAATGTACGTTTGATACTTAAGTACAAAACAAATCAGATACTTTAAGACTTTTACTCAGAGGAAACTTTTCCCAAAGTCATTTCATAAGATACTTGTACTTTTACTCAAGTATCACGTTGTGGTACTTTATACAACCCTGCTATCCTTCACATCCAGAGGAGCCAGTTGAAGTGGCTCCTGGACACCTCCCTGTGGGACATACTGTAGAGCAGTGTTTCCCAAAGTTGGGGTCGGGACCCAAAGTAGGGTCCTGAAACATCAAGGTGGGGTCCTGAAAAKATTTTCTGAATTAATTACATTTTTGNATATCTTTTCCTAAACAGAAAAATGTAGTATCATCTGGAAATAATACACATTTAAGAAGCCCTGACACACATATTAAATCATTTAGATATAAAATAAATAACKTTKGTCCAAGTACAGAACCCTGAGGAACCCCACATGTAATGTTGCAGAGTTCAGATCTTACATCTTTTACCTGCACAAACTGTTTCCTGTTTTTAACTGTTAAATACATTTTGTTGTGTACTTAGAGTCTTAAGAAGTTAAGAATAGTTTTACTTAGTCTCTCCTGGTGCTGCGTAGCTATATTTGTACTCTGTTCAGGTCACATTTTTAACCTGTTCAGCTTTCTCTATTTCCTGTGACGTTTTCTGGACTATTGCTACTACTATTGTGCAGATATATAGTTGTAAGCCCCTCTATCAACCTAGAATGAACTGGTCTGGAAGCTGGAGGGGCTGCGGGGWGCAAAGCTACTTGTTTGGGTTTAAAGAAACAGCCTCAAAACGAGTTGATCTGAGACACACCTCAGAAAAGGTGCAAGGCTTGTGGGGTTACAATAAGGAGGAGTTCAGACCAAAGCATTGCAGCTCCACTTCATATAGACCCCCAACCGAAGGATTTGAAAGCATCATATGTCTACTTTAGTTTTTCCTAAAAATGGGACAATTTCTTAGTAAACAGCAGTGGTGGGCACCAGTCCGCTAAAGCCCAAATCCACTAATTGCGGACCTAAATGTTTCGTTTGCGCTTTAGCGGTCTTATTAATTTTTATAATTCATAAGCAGATTTGCACTTTCTAAAATTAAAATGCAGTACCACTAATAACTAATTATCTACNCAAAATGCATTCAAGGATTTTATTACATTTTGTGTCAATATTACATACAGTGGTTTTAATTTGGTTTTATTAAATTTTGGAGCCCAATTTTGTTACATAATTTGGCTTYAYGAAKAGGAATTTGGACWGAAGCATTGCAGTTCCACTTTATRTAGACCCCAACTGAAGGATTTAAATGTGAAWWAGAAGGATTTAAAAGCATCATATGTCTCCTTGAAGGAAGTCAACAGATCAGATTGGGTCAAATCCTCACTTTGTCTCAATCCTCCTTCCAGTGACATGTTTTCAACACAGGAAATGATTAAATCCTCTCCAGCAGAACCTGATCTAGGCTTCAACACAGCCATCTTCCTTGACCAACTGGAGTTGAGGGAACAGGAGACACAAACACTGGTTCAGGTGTGGTTTCTGTGGGAAGAAAAAGAGAAAACTGTGGAGTAACGACAGCAGCATGGATAAACATGGCGAGTGGATGAGTCGGTCAGGAATGAGCAATCCTGGTCCTCAAAAGCACAATCCTGTATGTTATACTTGTTTCTCTGATTTCTTAAAATCAGGTGTTCTGGAGCAGAGAAAGAAGTAAAGCATGCAGRATAGTGGCCCTCGAGGACCAGGATTGCCCATCTCTGGTCTCAACCTACAGCAGCAGAACYAAGGAAYAATAGGTATAAGTCAGGAAAGMAACCCTGACTATATGATTGATCAAAAAGGAAARTCMTTGTTTTTCTTTTATTTGAATCCTTAGTAGCAGTTCCCTGTATCTACTCTTCCTGGTGACGTCTTTAGTTTTAAAAGTACAAGAGTATCAGCCTCACAGACAGAAACTAGAAGTTGGTTCCACAAAAAACACTAGTGTAGGGATCTGGTTTTGTTCCTTTTATGCTCAGTGTTCTTGACTCTTTGTAGTGTGCRTGTCTTCCCGTGTGTGTCTGTGTCTGTACATGTTTTGCCATCTGGTGGGAACAGTTTTTGACCATTTTCCCAGTACACACAACCTGGTGAGGACCCACTGTTCCTATTGGGGACAAAAACCCGGTCCCCTTTGAGGGAAATACCACTGATGAATCAGGGTTTGGTTTAGGACTAAGGTGTGAATTGAGTTTGAATTAGGTTCAGCATTAGGGGTCAGGTTTAGGCTGTAGAAATGACCAGTTGATGAATGGAAGTCAATCAAAAAGAAAAAATCAGTAGGTCCTCTGGATGGTTCTTCTCTAATGAAACGTTTCATCTCTCCTCCAAGATACTTCTTCAGTC